GCAAATAGTTGTATTAAATATTTCAAGAAAAATGTATTGTCTGTCTTTTTTTTTTTACAAAATGTTATTACTATTTTGCTTTAAATCAGTAATATGTACTTGCACATCAGTCAAGTAAAAATTACGCTGCACAAATATTTCATGTAAGACAACAGATAGCAAGAGCGTCTGCTATCTGTAGCTCTGAAATATATCCTGCATACTAATACAATCTATTCCATATACTTAGATTTCAGAAGACTTCCTAAGAAAATGACCAGTGAGTCGTAATTTACACTTCTCCTTTGTTGCCATGTATCAACTAGAAGGTTTCTTCTGAATATTTATGATGTGCAACTTCTAAGCTAATACTTCTCTTAATTTGCTTTTGAATTAAACAAAAAACTACCTTGCACTTTATAGTTTCTCAGCAACCTTTTACTCTTTTTTAACTTGCAATCCTGCACGTATATACTGTAAACTTTTCAGGCTCAGAACACCACCTTTAATATTTTTCATTTAAGTTCTCTTAAAAAATGGGGATTAAAAACTTACAGCTGATCAAGAAGTAACAGATGTAGAGAATAACTCATAGAACACGCATGTCTTGGAGCTTGTCTACATTACCACATGCAGAGCTGCCTCTTTACCATGGAACTGACTCCAGATTAACACTCCCAGCATCTCAGGAGCCTGAGCTCACTCAGCACCACGCTAACACAACTTCACAGCTTCTGGAGCAAGGCTGAAGAGGGTACGTGCCTGTCTGTAGCTGATGTTACGACCACAGAGGTCTCAAGAATATATCAGCCAGTTTTGGGGTAACAGCTCTTCACAACTTAATTACCTTATAGCCCTTATTTTACATTCTATTGTAGCTCTTATTTTGTCCTTTGGTTGTCTTTAACATCATACACGCTTCTCTGTCATTTCTGCCATTATCCCCTCTACCCTCTGAACTCTTCTGCTTTTCCTCAGTTTCCTTTCTACATTCCCAATACTGCTTTTATTACCAACACAGAGACCTCTACTTACAGTAGTCTTCTTTAATCTAATTTTTTTCTCATATGTTACTGAAACCACTCAGTCTATATCTCTCAAACTCTTATTTACATTTCAGCTAGTTCTGAATGCAGCTATATTGCTAAGTCTGATAGACTGGCTTCCATCATCTTAAGTTGTTGGCTGTTATTTAGGTCTCATGTTGATTTGACTTCCTTCAAACCCACTAATCGTTTTTTCAAAATATTTACCCAGTAGAAGTTCCTTGCTGAACCTCACCACTGTCTGCATCTTTGGTGATACTTAACCAGTTTCCTTTTATTAACTCTTTGTTGGCTTGCCCATGCAATCTGTCTGTCCTGCAGGTACTTCATATATCTTTGATTTATCCTTCATTATTTCTGAGAGTAACCATTTCCTGAAGTTTATTTTCAGAGAGAAAAATGGCATGATTTAAAATAGAATTTTAAGGTAAACTTAAGGTAGAAAACTTCGGCAGAGGTCCTCAAAGAAAATGGGAAAATCTATTGATTTCTAAATTACTTCTGTATCTTTATATTAATATTGTCTTTAAATTAAAGAAAAAAGAAAAGTCCATACTCATAGACTGTAGCCTGAACTCAGCACTCACTGAGCAACCTACTGTAATTTCAAAGTTTGCCTCACTCAGAGCAGGGGGTGGGACCCAGTGACCTTGGAAAAGGACCTAGGTTCTTACCAACCTAAATTAATCTATGACTTCATGAAAAAGATTTGCTTTTATCCTTCTTGAAAATACCATCTTTAAAAAAGAACTTCTTAGATCAGAAGTGGATGTGATAGATTTCTATCCAGCGTGCACTGAAAGTAGAATGCAGAGTGACTGGTGTCCTTAAATTCATTGAGAAATGGTTTATTGTAAACAAATAGTTGTAAATAAAATATATTTCTTATGAATTAATTTTAAAAAAATAAGGCTGTGTTGTCTCTGGAAATTATTATATGGAAATTGTCAGTAAAAAATTTGGTCTACTCATCCCATCTATGTAAGCGTACTTAATGCTTTTCTAATTTTTCTGAGCTTCTGATTTTTGTGGGGGTTTGTTTTTTGTTGGGGTTTTTTTTTTTTGAGCCTGTGATCACTGTCATCTCCACTAGATGGACCTCATGAGATGTTAAACTTTTTCTTTACTGGTCTAATTTAATTTTATCTGTATCTGAAACAGTATTTTTCTCTTAACTGTATAAGGTTTTAAAAAGTGCAGTGCAAGGCCCCAATTCTTTTCTTACAGTGAGTGCATATTGGAAAAATAATACAACTGCTATTTTTAGTGAGAACTCATGATAAAATACAAGTATGAGATTTTACCGTCCACCTATCAGTCTTTACCCCACCCCATTAACTTCTAAAAACACTGAGCAGGTACAATCAAATTTAACAAATGTAAAACCGTGAAGCATATCGCAAGGGAGTATTCACAAAGGCAAAGTTCAGCATAGGGACACTGCGGTTTTTTGGGTTGTTTTTAGTTTGTGGATGGGAAACCCCAGGGGTCATTCAAAGCAGACACCTGAATGAAGCGATGGAGGAATTGCGCGCTGCAGGCCTGTTTCCTTTTGCCATTGGGAAGAAGCGGCACAAGGACACTGCCCTCCCCAAGCTAAACATGCCTTCAGTGGATGCCATCCTAAGTTCCAGCAGTAACCGAGCACAATACAGGGCCCAGTGAACGCACGCAATCCTCAAACAACTTGATAGACTTGTCCACCAGTAAGCTGACAGTAGTTACCTGACAGTGATCACGCGTGGCTCTGAAGTAGTCACAACCTTCTGCCTCTTACCAGGCCGAAGCAGAAAAAAGGCTGGGATGCTTGTGATGGAAGGACAGCTGGGAACAGGGGAAGAAGCGAAGCACATTGCTGCGTAACTACAAGATGGTTAGGTCGCATTAGTAATACAGCTCATAGGCATTATTTGAAATTTAAAAAGCTGCTCTAAGTTACCTTCAAAATATTTTTCTGCTTATTGTATTTTTCAAGATCATTTTAATGTGTTTTATACAATATTTTTATTATCAGTGAAAGTATGCATCGCTGCTGAATAGGAGTGTTACTTTCATGGGTTATTAGCCAAGTTTGTAGTTAACAGTGGCTCATCTACTGTTCTCAAACTAAAAATGGTTCTTCTGCTGAAGAAACTTTTCTCTCCTTTCTGTTTACCCTTTTTGTATATTACACCTGGACTATCTTTATATTGTTGTTTAGAATTAATGGTATTTTATTAATAATAAAATTAAAATGATTGATAAATATAATTAACATCATGTTAAAAGGCTAGTTATAATGTTATGTATTTCTGTGAAAAGCCAGCAAGTTATAAAACTGCAATAAATAGGAAAAAAAAAAAATCTTTGGATCAAGTAATTGGGTAATTCCAGTCTTCAACTGATAGTCACATAAGTCAAATATTAAAAAGTTGTACAAAATTACAGCTAGCTCCATCGAAGCTAGCAAGCTTCGCTGGTCCTGGGCACCACATCTCCCATGATTCTTCAGTTTCTTCTAGCACTGCCCTTACTGACGTATATTTTAAGTGTTGCACTGTATGTTCTTACCTTCCATTCGTAAATGTTAGTTTATCCAAAGAATAGCACTGTACTTGTTATTTCATCCCCACGCTGAACAGCAGCAGAGGATTGAAAGTTAATCCATCCACTGTTTGCATTGATTCTATTCACCATCTTGCAGCAATTTAGTAGTAGTCTATACAAACAATTTTACAGACCGTATTTTCTTTATTATTTTCACACTTCATGGAGATCATCTCAATGAAGCTACAAGATCGAGAGCACCTTTTTCAAGTTTTTAACGTTGAACAACTTCCTAAAAGGGATAGCATTTAAGACTTTTGCAGAGAAATTTTTGTCTTGTGAGTGTATGTGCCATTTTGTTGCTGTCTCATCAGGCTATCAGTGTATCTTTTTTTTTTTTTTCCTAAGTTTTTCCTTTTAGTAGTATTTTGAGTAGAGTTCTCAGATGCTTCCTGGTGTCAAGCATTATTAGAATGTCTGGCTCTATATTTTTCTCAACCAGTTCTATTTGCTTTGTTATTAGCATTTAGTAACTTTTTTCTTCTTACTGTCAAGAAAGCATTAAAATCATTTGTTTGCTAAACATCAAAGTACGTTGTTACATTTCCATCTATGGTTGTCCAATTTAGTAATTTTGAATGAGAATAACAGTGAACTTAATTGTCATTCTTTAGAGGGCCAGAACCTCAACTAGTGTAGAATGACAATCATGTTATGCTGGTTAGGATCTGGTCCAAAACCTCGATAGGAATATCTTGTGGAAACAAGATGGAGAACCTTAGTCAAGATCATCCTTTTGAAGACTCTGTGTTGATAAAGAAGCGATATGATCTGATGCATAATAATAGTAATCTCTTCCCTTCCCAACTGTCCCTGGGAAAAAAAAAGAGCTTTAGGAAACGTGTTCATTTCCTGCAATAAGTAGTCATTTAATTAAACAACAAAAGTAACAGGAATCAAAAATGCTTGCAGCTGTGATTCTGTTAGACATTATATAAAAAAGAATGAAATTATAATACATTAAATTAGTTTTTAGAACATGAACTTAAGTGTTTTACAAACTAATTGTGGTAAGTTCAAAATGTCTGGTCAACATAATACTGAATGACAGTGTGTCATGTCCATTTATGTCGGAGGCCTTGGAATGGTAAAGCCTGTACATGCACAACATCTCCTTTTCCAAGATAGACTGCAAAACAGTTTAAAACAAGTGTTAAAGGAGAGTAGTAGGTTCTTTCAAGTAGCTTTACTTCAGTCTTTTTCAGCAGATCGTCCCACTCCACAGGCCATCGCTCTTCTGGCTTCAGAGCGAAGTACATCTCCGGTGTTTCTTGCTGTACGTAAGTGCTGCAGAGACCTCATCTGCAGAGTCCTTCTTTCACATAAACATCAAGGTATCCTGGACTGAACTTTAGGGAAAGACTTATATATTCCCTGATGTGTGTTCAGCAGCGATATCAAAAAGTAAAGACAGATTCTTCTCAGAAGAAAATTTCTATGGCCTGTGAAATCTAGGAGAAATAAGAGATATTTTTCAAACCACTTTGAAATTAAAAAAAAAATATATTTTTTAAAATTCTGTGTTAGATGAACAAAAAAACTGTCTTTTTAAAAAAAAACAGTATTCATTCTGTTTAAAGGTAACAGTATTGAAGAATATTAGCGACTTTTAAGTCTTAATTTTCACCAACACATTTCTACACGTATGCCGTGACTGTAATGCAGTTAATGCCCAGTCTAACCAGTTTCCAGTTATTTGGGAGTGCAAGTGCAAATATAGGTGTGGGGTTGATTTTGGTTTTTTTCTTTTAGGAATTAAGCCACAGCTTGTCATTGGTAGAAACTTTCTTCATTGCGCAGTGCTCTCGTTAGTTTGTAAGAGTTAAACAATGTTGAGCTGATGCTTTGGAAAATGTGAGGAAATACTGTTGGTTTAATGTACGATAGTCTTAAGAGTCTGTCTGGAATGAATACACTCTTGCTCTGTAGGCGTGCTCTTTTGGCTGATACACGTAATTAAAGTCCCAATCATTTGCAATGCCTTAGCACTAACTGTAAATTGCAAGCCTGTTTACTCCTAATATCCTGAACAAATTTCAAAATATATCATTATAATGTACTTAAACTCCCCAGGTAGCTTCAATTAGACACGGTGTATCTCACTTTCAGACTTAAACTGCAGCCATCCCATTTTTTTTTCCTATATTTCATTCTATCAATGCAGTGATGTCTTGCCATAAACATTGAGTTCGAGTCCTGTAATGTTAAAAGGGCCCTAACAATTGCACGAACAGTCTAGAATTATATAAATATAGCCTTTAGATCAATGTACATTGCATTTACTACTCAAGTGTGTTTGCCTAGACCATCTTTTCGTTGAACAGCCAAAGCTCAGTTAAGCTGGAATTCATTCCGAGTTCAGAAATGAGCACGGAGATGTGGGCCCAGGCGCTGCTGAAGTGAGCCTTCCAGAATGCGAGACTCACGCCAAGTTCCTTAGTACAGTGTTAGGCGACTTATTTTAGCAGCAAGTACACCTGAGAGCGCTTACAGACATGGCAAGAGCACACTGTGCTCCCAGCAACTCCTAAAATTGTGTTTTAAGAGCAACTGGACTTGTTCAAGAGACCTAATAGAAATTGTAGGAAATAACTGATTGCTATTTCAATTTTTCTCTAACTAACAGGGTCTTTTTGCAAGTAACAATGGCTGTGGAATCAGCCTCTCTCACATTTTTTCCCCACTTAGAAAAGGGAAATGAATGTTTTCGTGCATGTTTAAACATAAGACCTGTCACCAGTGCTGGCAGATGAAGCAAGCCCTAGATCGACTAGGTTCACGCTGGCCCAACCACTCAGAGAGCGACAAGAGTCCAAACCACTTCTCTCTCCTGACCTCCCCCCTGGACTGCCATTAAGTGTGCTTTGCAGGGTTGCACTCCTTCCAACAGCAACTGGACCGATGTTCGAGTGATACTGAAATCTACAGGCGGAATCCATTAGAACAAATGCATTACTTATGGGCATTATGTATGTCTTGTTACGGTGTGTAGAATTCATATTTCTTAGCAGGGAAATTGCGATGTTTGTAATGAGAAGCTTGCACACTCAAGTACATTTAATTCAAAAACCTTTATGTAGTGTATTAAGTTGTTTGTCTACTTCAAAAAAAATCATTTTTCTACGTTACACCCTACATTTAATTTTTTGTCATAGCTTTTGAATCTTCAGTGCAAAGAACGCAAGCTGAGTGGTGTTCTGGAGAGGGTCTGGGGGCTTCTCAGTATGTGCTAACCAAAGCAAAAAAAAAATCAGAAAAGCCAGACTCTGAACAGGAAGAGAAATACTTCAATTTTCTTTTAAAATAAAGCTTCCTTTGCGTACTCTTCTCCCACATCCAGCATGTAAGAGCAAAATCTACAGATTCGGAACTCAAGCAGACTGTTCTTAGCAGGCAATGGAAATAAACAGCTGGAAAACTGACCTTGTCAAATGTTTGCTTGATGCATGTACCTCCATTTCATTACTTTTGTATTCATTTAGCTCTTTCCGAATTGCTGCCTAGGAATTGAAAATAGAAGAAGGTTAACAAAAAATTTTGTATTTATAAGCATTGTAGAATACCGGACTTGCAGTTCTAAAGTAGAAATAATAGGTATTGGGCATAGCGAAGCATACTGTGCCAGCAGAGATGCTGAATATTTAGGTTATACGGATTGGTGATATGATACTTCTTATCGTTCATTACTGATCGCTGACAGGGTCACTTCTGTCCAGAAGCAATTCTGACAGGAGAATAAAATGACAGTGCTTATTGTCTCACATTTAATAAGATGCCAGTTAAAATTTATTAAAGATTAAGAGAAGTTGCTGAGAAATTGATCAGCTGGTCAACTGACTTTTATGGAATTTCAATGTGTGTCATTTTTTTAATAAAAATCAGACTGTTTGCCTTATCGCAACTTGCAAACACCAGTCCAGACTGTGTTATCACCTGTATCCATAGGATTGCAGTCATAAGTGAAGAAAAATGTTCTCTTTTGGTGCTTAATATAATGAAATTCAAGACTATAAAAGTGAGAGCGTTCTTTTGTTTAAATGGCAACTGCGAGTGAACTGGAACGTGCTGGTGCTTTCACAGATTCTTATATGTTTGGTACTTTGTAGTTCAATTACCTAAAATTATGAGGCTTGTACCCATGTTCATGTTTTACATCAGAGATTTGGCTTATTAAAAGAAAAATGAGGAAAAATAATGTATTTGTCTACTCTGAAAGAGTTTCTCAGTCACAAATGCAACGGTCAAACTCCTGACCCTGAATTCCTGACGTATGCCACCAGTATATGCCATTGAACTCTGTCACTTTCTTTTTGGCTTATAAACCTGCCTAGTTAACAATATAAAACCAGTAAAACTAGAAAAAGCCTAATTTTAATACATACCCAGTACATACAAGGAAAATACAAAATCATTATTCCATTGATTAATATATAATAGCTTATTCACCATTTTAGTGAGCTCAGGAGAACAGCTACTGTAGTAGAAATACATTGTGGCTTTTCTATAGGAGTCCTCTAAAACCATTTGTTCCACTTTGTACTGGGGAGACACTGGAACGGAGGATGAAGTGTTTAATCTCCACATCTCAGAACAAAGCAGTAAGTGACGGACCTGTATTTGCCATTTTACCCAGTAATTATCTCGGCATCCCTACTCGTTCTGCTTGCTGCAGCCCTGAAACTTCAAAACTTATTCAGCAACTGTTCTAGCTGGAATCATGCTGAACTATTTTTCTTACTACTCAAGCACCTAAATGTGAAAGTTAAATTAGGATGTAAATCAGCTATGTGGCGGGTATGTGATGGAACAAAAACGAGTGTTTGTTTATGCTCATGAAAATGTGGAATCAAGTGACTCCTTGAGCATTCACAGGAAACAGGAAAGGAAATATTTGCATGTTTAGAAACATAGTGGAGGATATTTGCGTGTTTGGGACAAAACTTCCAGTCTGAGGGTAAATGTTGGTACTGCATTGGCTGGAAATGTTTTTGAGTTGCGGCCCTAAAGCATTACGAAAGATTGTATCCACCTTTTTGGGTTTTTTCTATCAGTTGATGGGCTGGGTAGAAGCCTTTATGGTACTAAATAGGCATTTTTATAAATAGCATTTTTTATTACGGTATGCATTAGTCAGTGTGGTTTCAGCATAAAAAATAATGGTAACATTTACAGAGATTAAATGTCCCAGAAGTTAAACGTCTTTGCAGAATGTGACGTATCATTATAGACAAAGCAAGTAGAAAGCAGTAATACGTCATTTTAATTATGTCGGTACCTTATCTGCTGCTGATAGTCTTGTCCACGGTTTATCTGCTCGCCTGTCGTAGTCCTGTGCTTTTGCCACTTCCACATAATCACTGAATCGAATCAGGATTTTTCTGTCTCTTAGTTCATCAACCGTAGGTCTCTGGTTAAGCTGTATTAAATAGTTTTGTAAAATAAAACCAGTGTTAATAGCAAACATATCAATAAAATGTGCAACATTTTCTGCTTCCCATCTTAGCTTAGTGTGCATTTATGTACATGGAAAAAAAAAAAAGAACCCTTGGAAATTCCAGGGAAATATTCAGTCATTCAGAGGATTGTTAGGAGAGTAATAATGGTTTAAATGGAGTTGTGTGCTACAGCACAGTGGCTTTATAATGGACAAAAGAGGAAAATATTTTAACCTGGATATTGATAACATGCATTTACTACATGTAAAGGAATCATAATGAATTTATTATGATCTAAGTATGATATCGTATGCTGTAGGGGTTTTCTACTCCAGTCAGCGGCAGATTGTCTGTGCAAGGTTTTCAGGACCGGACCCATTGTAAGGATTTCAATTTGGCTTTAACAAGTTATCGGCCTATTTGGCTTATAACTCCAGTAGGGATTCCTAGGAACGGAACAATAACAAGATCTAGTTCTGATTCTGAGAATACCTTAAATGCAAAGAGAAATTTATTGTGGGAGCACACCTGGTGCTCAGCAGGGAGTCCGCTCTGCTACTGATTGCTACAAAGAATGAAGTAGTCCTTTTCTAGCAATACAGTTGCAAAATACGCAGTGTGCAAGCAAATATCCATTTTCTGATTTAAAGTTTATATGTAAATATTCTACTAAGTCTCACGTAACTGAGATGAGGTAGATATTTTTAGAATTCATATTACTAGATACCACTATCTTAGATACTGCTGAGGAGGATGTATATTAAGGGAGGTTTTGTGTAATAATGCCTCTATGACTGGTAGATGTTACGTTAGCTTTGCTAAATTTCTAAAAACTAATAGAAGGTATTGCAAGATTTTACCTTTCTTGTCAGTCTCTGTTTGATTTCCCTTCTTTCTTCCTGTTCTGTTTGATCATTTCGTTCTGCGGAGAATATAAAAAAAAAGATGACTTTCCTCATGAGGAGGATCGGTAGTTTCCAAAGTTCCAGGCAACAAAAATTAGAGCGTAGAAAAATTAGTAGCTGGTTCTTAGTTGTATGTTTTGGTAGTTCAGTACATCTCTCTGGTTCTCTATTAGAACATATAGTTACCTCTCTGTAAGGACAACGTACTGGTGCCAATGTCAGCTTTTCCTGTGCTCTAAATTCCAGTTCCAAGGAGATTTAATAAAACAACAGCAGTCACACCAACTCTCCAATTGCATAAACTTTAGAAGGAAAATCAAAATATTCCATAGTTAACTATTTTTCATTCTCCACGTTGCTGGAGCCATTCATCGCTGTAGATGCTGAAAAGACTTATTGCAGCAGCTCCAGGGAAACTATGTTCTTTCCTGTATAACCTTATTCTCAGGCTACATCTTTAGATGGTGACGCTGCCACAATAGTTATCTTTCGCTTGCATGCTTTTTTCCTCTGCTATTCAGGATATGCCAGTGACATTAGAACCTCTTTATCCTCACAGGGTTTTCTTTCGTAGCATTTCGTTCTAACCTAAGCCAGCTTGCTTTTGTGTGTTGTGCCTATTAACATTCAGGCCGTGATAACTCCTACACACTGGGTCTAAAAATAGACTAGAGTGCTGTAACACTGTGTGAAATATATCCTTTGCCTTAGGAAACAAGTTAATGGCGTTTCTATTTCTAGTACTATCTGTTACTAAATTAAGGCATGAGCCTATGACCTGAACAAAGCTGAAGACCTAGCGAAAAATGTTTAACCATTCTGGGATTCTCTAGATACTACTGTGAAGCTTATTATACCACTTGCATTAGGTATTTCCAGCATTAAAGCACACACGTGATTTTTAATACGCCTTGAAAAAACACTAGCACTGCAGATGAGTTTCCAAAGTGATATTTTCAGTAATGAAGTATTCTTCTCCCTAATTTTACGCTCATTAGATTACACTGAAATGCAATCATAAGTATCTATTTAAAATAACATAGTAGTGCATAGCTACAACTGGCTGTAGTAGAAATGTAAACCAAATGAATCTAAAATGCTATAATGTGCTCTATTACAATTCGGTGGCAAGGCACACAAATTTAAAAGAGAATAGGACAGCTAAAATTAGTGCTCTGTCAGGGATGAGCAGCTGTTTACGTCTGGAATGTTTAAAAGGAGAACAGGCTTTAAAAAGTAGAGTGTATTTTAAGATGTAGAGATACCTGCAAGAACTTACTAATATGCTTCATTCAGTTTTAGTTCATCCCTTTTAGAGTAGATATTCCTATCTACATAATTTTATTAAAAGAAGAGAATTTTCTGTGGCGTAGTGCCTTTTTAAGGTATGACTGTGATATGCACTGAGAGAATTCCTGAAGAAAACCCAAAAATACACATTTCTGATCAAAAAAGGCTTTTCCAAATATACTAAACATGTATAGTGACCCATTTCTATGAGACATCCACTCAGGTTCAGTGCTTATTCCCAGCTTCAAGAAACAAAAGAAATAGTTCTTTTAGAAAAAATAAAACAAGAGTTGATAGGAAATGCTAGCAAGGGCATTATAAAACTCAGGCGTTATTACAGAGACAAACCAGAGAGGTTTTTCCCATCAACATCACTCTGCCTACACTTAGATCCATTCATTAGTGAGGGCTGGTTTATAAATCTCAGTAGAGTGACGCTCCCAATTATGAAGTGGCATGTGCAGTACTGTAATTCATTTTGCTGCTCTGTGAGTTATTCAGGGAACTCTTAGCTGTGCGTGACACTAAAACAATTCCTGGTGTTAAGAATGAACCGGGGATTGTACAGTGTGATTTAAGAGATGCTGCCTTCTTGAATGCGAATGTCAGCTTTCATTTGAATACAGGAAGAACACGTGTGAACACCTGGGTCGTGATTTTAGTTCATATGCTTTCCATATGCTTTGTGGTAAACCAGCGGTGTTTCTATAGTTCAAGTGAAGGACTTAGAGGATCAACAAAATTGTAAGAAAGCGTTGGCTTTAAGTTGGCTTTTTAAGTGTTGCTTTTATCTCAGAAACATCTCCCTAAGGGAGATAAGAAGTCACTTTTTTTAATCTTACCGAGATCTGTTTTAAAATAACCTAGCAGTTGCACTTAGGCACTTGCAATATGCTTCTCATTTTGACAGAGTTGTACAAATGTGAATTATTAGTCCTTAAAACAGCTTTGGGGGTAGCACTGCTTCCGTTAGCAGTATGTATTATGAACATCAAAGGTGTTAGGGAACTTACGACGCAACTGTACAAACCCTCACAACCTGGAGGAGGTTGTAGTGATTTTACTGAAGGGCATTTATACCGCTACAGCTTTGCATGTCAGACCCAATCCAGGTGTTTTTAAAGTCCATAACAAGAATGTCGACATCCCTATTAATAAAAGGAGACTTTACTAATTTCCAAATTCACTCAAAACTGAGGCTAGAGTTGTTGCATCTGTCCAGCCTTTTAAGATTACAACTGACACAGCTAAGTGATGACCTTAGCTCTTTACAAGATACCGAGCTTTTTATATAATGGAAGAGGTAAATAAAACAGAAGTGGTTCTGATCTCCGCTGAACCTGTATAAAGCCTGAGCAACTGAACTGAAGTCAATAAATTTGCTCATGCTGGGAGCTCTTTAAATGAGATACAAATCTAGACCAGTATGTTTAGCTGGCATTCAGGAAATATCTTTAATTCTGCTTTATCTTCTTTCTGCTTTATCTCCCTCTAAGCTCATTATATGAATGTATTGAAACTTTTTTTATTATTAAAGCTGGTCAGTTTAACCCAGATTAAGGATGTAACCAGCACACTTCAAAAAGTAAACATAAAGGAGCAGATTTTTTTTCAGTAGAGATCAGCTCTTCCTTAGCCAGGAAAAAAACCCAAAGAAACAGATTTTCAGAGATCTTGGGCACTGACTCTTGAAAATCTGGCCCCACGTATTTCAGAATCTTGGGTTACTGCTTTTTCTTGTCTCTTGTGGTAGATGACAGGTGAAGTTAGGCCAAGTTCATCCATTCACATTTGCAAAGAATGTTTCCTTTTTCTCATTTAGCTATGCACAGGTTAGATACATCTAATTTTACCGTGTGCAATATATGCATTGGAACAGTACTGAAAATACCGATAAATATAAGTTGACTGTGGAATTCCTTTGTGTTAAAACTGAAATTAAATCCCCAATAACTTCAATGGCAAGAGCGTAAGGTTTTTTCTATGAACTACTAAGAAAGTTCTGAGACATTAAATTTTAGGTAACAAAATGCAGGTAACTCTTTTCCTAGCAAATTACAATCACATTAATAATTAAATATGAATTAAATAGCATAGGCAGCATTGCTTGTATGACATAAATTTATGTGGCTTTATGTTTTATGCTTGTTTAATGAGCAACAAACTATTGTTCACATCATTCTGGTGGTTGTCTTTCAACACTAAATAGACCACAAAAATAACAGAAGCAACACACTTTTCCTTCAAGCAGATGGCCTCCCCCTTTCTCCTGTCTGAGACCCACTATGGAGACAATTTCAAAGCTCTCTCTCACCTTCCCCTAACTTAGAGGATTCCCAGCACTTGTAAGGAAAGGGATTATGTTCATCACTTGTTTGATCCCCGGGTCAGAACACCAAGCTTTAGGAAAAGAGTTGCAAGTTTCTGCCTTGTGTTTATTTGAGAGATGTTGAGAACATTCGCCTGTGGCAACATCTATAACAGGCCTGGAACCGTCTCTCTAATAACTCTAGTATCCCAGAATGATCTTTCTTTGACTTGTCTTTGGGAAGGTCTCTAATGATATGAACAAATGTACTTGCTAGGAGAATCACACCTCTGCAAGGATGCTTCCTCCATTCCACTTTAGCCTTGGTGGTATTCAGTGTACAGTTTGCCATGACAGTCCACATGTTGAAAAATGTCAGTCCAATTCTCATTGCACTGTGTGACACTGAGATTGTATTCCCCTCCTAGACATCCATAACAGTGTAATCAGAATGAAAATTATTTGAAAGCCTCAATTTGAACAAGTCATTCTTTTCTGTACTAAACTGCATGCCTTTATCAAGTTGTAAATTCTGATTCCTACAGTATTTGAAACCCAGGACATGAAAAATTAAAACTTTTAGGTACAGAAAATAATCCCAGTGAATGAATTTGTCTATTTAAAAATAATATGTTCTAGAAATGCAATCACTGGTTTCAACAAACACATACAAAATACTTTAGGAAAAAAATACTCACGTTTAAGTATGTTTCTTCTTTCTAGCTCCTCAACAGCAGGTCTTTGGCTGAGTCGCCTGCGGAAAAACACCAAAATCACATTTTGTACCATGCCTGTTCTTTGGAAAGTCTGCGGTATTCTGAGTTCTGGTTGGTGTTTTCCTCAGGGAGGGGACTACAAAATCCCTCTCCAGGACTCAGGAAGAAAAAAATACAAGACTCCTGGCACCAGAATGCTTTCTTATATTATTTTTCCCAAATGTCAGCAATGCAGGTAGAAGTTCTCCTCTAGTTTGCTCTGCTGTCAGGGAAACGCTTCCTCAGAACGTGCATCCTTTTCACCATACTTTCCAGTCAGTCAGTTGGAACCAGTGCTCTCCAACAGTTAAATTCACTCTTGAGGGGATATTTAAGGTGGTTATCAAATGAGTTTCACAGTGATCTTCCGTAGCTATCACTGCCTCTACCTTTTAATCCCACGTAGCAGCGGGCTTCCTTTTTTCTAGTAACACCAGTGGTGCATCCTGACAAAATGCAGACTTGCCAGAAATAAAGCTTTCCTGTGGCTTCCCGACTACACATCTAACAGACCAATCCAGCAGCTCTCCTCCTGCCTGCTGAATAAAATTCGTGTGCTGCTCACAGCCTCATGCTGTCTGAACGGAGTGTCTTATGCAGTTTCACCTCCCCTTTTCAGTAGTGCTGCTTCAGGATTGAGTCTTCGAATCATATGATCAGTGCCATAGCGATTTTATTCTGCATACTAAATGAGACTTCCCCACGAGACACCGCTAATATCTGCAGAGAATCTCAGGTAATTGAACCCCTCCCCTAGGCAGACACACACACACACTGCATTTGCTAGCTTTCAAGTAACGATCCAGCAAGCAGATCGGAAAGAGTTTATGCTGCTTTCTGGCCTGCGTTCTGGCAACGTTAAGGATTCTCATCGTTTCCTCTCCAGCAGATGCTGCCAAGCCAGAGATGAAGTTACAGGGACAAAGAAATACTCAGAGCAGGGACCACACTGCAAACCACTGCTGCAGTAGTTATCCCTCTACTGTGTACAGGAAATAAAGGAATGGTTATAAAGTGATGCTATAACAAGATCTACATTTTATCAAATATACAAGAGATGAAAAAATGAAGTAACTGTTAACAGACTGTAAAAGAACCGGTAAAAGTATTGATTCTAATTTCTCCTTGTTTTGTAAGCCTTATCAAATATACCTTCAAAATCATTCACATGTTACCAGACCAACAGCCCAAAATATGAATGCAACTCCTTATCGTTTTTTAATTAATTTCCCTGAGATCACTGGGAAAGCTCTCATCTTTGGCAACAGGAAGGCATCACAACTACTATACCAGATTAACACCAACAGAAAACTTAGATGATGAGCTCTTGTGCTTAGAAACACCTACAGCCTAACTCTCGTTCTTCCTACCTACATTTTGTATCACCTAAGGTTTTTCTCCTGGCCTCTGGATTTCTTTTTGGAATAATGACTCAGATACTCCAGCAGTGGAAGTTGCAATAATCCAAACTGAAACAGGAATGATGCTGAAATGCCCTACTAAAGGCTTTAAACATGTATTTTTAACTCCTGTTACCTTGGACCCCTCCCTCCTCACTCATTCGTCTCAGAAATGATACAACTCTGGCTAGGTTTTATTTGAAAGAGATTAATGTGCATTTTATAATATAAATCAGGGAAGAATGACTTACTCGGAGAGCTTATCTGCAAATGAAAGGTCCACCTGACCTGCTGCTTACATGCCTCTCTCTCAAGCCATTCTTAATTACAGCCCTTCCATGCGAGATTTATAGATCCTCCCAGAATCTGTACATTAGATTTCAGAGGCCCCTTTTAAACTGGGGGATTAAAAGCCTAACAGAAATGATTAAAGCAGCATGAGAATGCATATGCATATGAATGCTCTGTATATTTTTTTATATATATAGTTCTAATATGTACGATGGTTAATTATTTAAAACCCTTTTTCCCTTTTGGCTTTGATAAATACATGGGAGGTGCCCAGAGACGACAACGTATTTGTGCACACCCTCAGCTTTACCCACAACAGAAGGAAAAGGTGCAGATATACACAGGCATATATATGCACAAGAGGGCATTGTGGTTTTTTTCCTGAGTTTTTCAGAGATATGGACCACACTTCCAAGCTTTTTGTCATAGTCATGAAACTAGATGTGGACTTCTCTTCAAACTAAAATTCTAACAGGATTTCAGGAAGCTGGGGATAGAGTGAAAACACCAAATATAGCGAGAGCCATGATCAAACAATGAGAAGTGGCAACAATACTGACATTGTTGCTACCAAGGCATAGGCACTATTGTTTATTATTTTTTCTGTTCAGGAGAAGCCTCTCTCTGCCCAGAAACCTCTTTTGTTTGCTTCCTCCGCTGCGAGAGCTGTGCTGCATGGTGGCTGGGCTCCGGGCGGAGGGGAAACGGCACCCGGGTCGGTGAAGGTGAAGGACTCCAGATGCCTCCACCAAGGGCTGCTGACTGTAACGGGGGGAAGCAGCAGTGAGCACGGCCCAGCCGGGCGAGCGAGGGCCGGGGGGCCACGCGTCTCTGCCGAGCTGCGCTGGAGTAAATCAGGAGGTGAGAGGCCCCTTCCGCAGGAGGGTCTTTTCTACGTCTGGAGAGGAGCGTGCTTGCTCGTGGAGTGCACTGCCTTGCCTGATCGTCCATCATAGCAAGAAACTAGTTGCTGCTGCGGGTATTTAACTGTGCAAGCAGAGCCCATCCTGCCTGAGTTGTTCAGCTGCTTTCGGAGGATGGAAAAGGGTGCTTCATCCCTCCACGGGGGTCTAAGCAGCCCCAGCCGGGCTGCCCCAGCCGCACTTTGTTTCCTCGGAAGGGGACTCGCAGTCCCCCTAGATACCACCGACTTCCCTCAAAACTTGCCTGCAGCCGGGCTCAGAGCAAGATAAGGACAAACACATTTCTGAGGGCCCCTGTCAGGTCAGCGGCTCAGCGTAGCGCAGGGGAAGCTGCAGGTTACCCCTGGCAAAAATGCATGTTCCTCTTGAAGGGAGCTTTGAAGTAAGAAACTGTTTCAGATGGGTTTGTGCCTCTGCCTGGGTGAGCTGTTCTCTGGGCACCGTGGGGCTCCATGTGCTCTCCTGAACAAGTGCTCTATTTTGGATATTTATTTCATATTTTTCTCTGAAGCTGTTGAAATATGAAATCCTGCCTCTGACAGAACCAGGAAACACCCCCTGCGCATTGAGCTCGGTGTGCTTCCTCAGAAGGCGGCCGTCCGGCCCTGTGGAGAGGCAGTGCCGTGGCCTCCGAAACACCACCATGCCTCAGGAAAATGGCAGCCGGCTCTCCTCACATCGTTGTTGGGGAGTGCAGGCCAGGAAGCAGGGACCGAGAGACTAAAGCTCTAGAGAGGGGATGCTCAAATCTCCTATGTTTAAAGGAAACAAACTCCAGCTGAATAATGATTATCAGCAGACCGCATCGCAGCAGGGGAGGCAGCGTGTGATCCTGGAGGATGAAGCAGGCACCTGCCACAAAGGAGCCTTTGTGAAGGCTAAAAACTGAACCCTCAGTAGGCCGTGGATGATCTCCACAAGCTTTGCCCAGAGAGGATTTTGTATTACAGAGCCACAGGCCATTTTGAGGCAAAGTGGAGTCCTGGCTCGTTTCCTGTGGGTTCAGCAAAGTACCTGCACCTGAGGGTGGGCAGTTGTAGGGCTCCACCCTGGGGCCAGCCTGCATCCAGGCTGGGTGCCATGCTGCTCTGCAGCTCTGGTTGTAGGAGCCATTTGAAGGTCTGAGGTGGGCATGAGACTCCAGCACTGCTGCAATGTGGACATGGATGTGTGAGTCTTGCATTTTCTGTTTCTGTTGTTTTTTCACCTGGGGACTCATAGCCCCACATGGGACTCACCTCAGTGAGGTGACTGTAAGCTCTGCTGGGAGCATTAATGTAGTGCACCACTTCTGTTGTGTTGCAGTAATGGCTTTTTTTCAGTTGATTTAAATTTAGATATTTATTTCTTGCTTTTGGGAAAAGCATCCAATTAATGCTGTTGTGTTCTTGGGTGATGTTAAAACCTAGGTTTGTGTATTTTTGTGCTGTCTGCTGAGGCAGGAGTGTTCCCTCTGAGTACCTCTGCAGGGCCAGCCATTTTTGGAAGGGTCTTGAAAGTTTCTTGAAAACTCTTGAGTAACTCACAGGCAAGTCCTATCTCTGCCCAGATCCCCCATGGTATAAATGCATGGGCTGTCATTGATATTGCTATGGTCTCATGTTAAGGGTATGCGCTCCAGGAATTTGCTTCCCCATTAGCTTAAACCAAGGGATGCCAAGAGCAAAGTAAGCGAAGCTGAACCTGCAGTGTCTCAGTTGAGGCAACTGCAGCTGCCTCAGGGAAACCAAGCAGAACTGGAGGCACCAACGTCGCTTCCCTCTAAATGGTGTTTGGACACAGTTCAGAGTTTGCTGTACATGTCTCAGTGATGCTCCAAGTTTGGAGAGAGACCAAAAGCTGAATATTTTATCATAATGCTAAAGCAGTCACCATAAGTTGGGGGGGGGCGACACACAACACTACACGGACAGCTGTTTCTTAAGTTCAGAAAAATAACAAAGTTTATGTGTTATTGTTGTTCTGTGCAAAGTGAGCATAAACCTTCGAGCACCAGGTGTTCTTCAGCTCTTTGAAGTTTGGGGAGTGTTCTAGGGGTATTTTCAGATTACCTTTAGAATGTTTTCTCCAGTAATTTGGGCTTGGAAAGATAACTGGATAAATTTCTGTATTCCCATCTCTCAGAAGCCAAAGACCTGGCCTGCTCCCACGTCCTCTGCAGTGTTACTTCTGAGGGTGAGAGGAGCAGGTCATTGAAGGTTAGCTCAGTTGCCTGTGGTTCTCCCCGAGAACACCCTGCAGGTACGGCCATGTGTGCTCTTGGTCTCAAAGTACCGCGGGTGCTGAGAGTCTGCACGTGGCCTGAAGATACTTATTTTCTCCATGCAATGTGCACATGGGAATCCTGTGACGCTCATGAGTGCTCCACACTGGCTCTGAGAGGGG